CGGGCAGGGGTGCGGGGTCGTGGTGGCGGCCCGGCCCCCACACCGCCCCACGCGTGCGCGGCGTGGGCTTCCCTTTGGGGTGCGGGTCCTTGCTGGTGCTGAAGGCAGTTACCTCTGTTTGTAGCCTCGGAGGGACTGCGGATGGTTGTGGGGCGAGCGGTGACATCACGGGTGTGTGAGCTTGCATTCCGCCTTGCCCTGCAGCGTCTCTGGTTGGGGGCCAGTCTGAAAGGCTTTTGGTACTTGGGTTAAACCCTGCTCGGGATATTGGTGTGGCTTTTCTTTTTCTTTTCTTTCTTTTAAAATTCGAGTCTCGCTCTGTTACTGAGGCTGGCGTGCCGTGGCCCAGTCATGGCTCAGCATAACGCCCACCTCCTGGGCTCAGGCGGTCCTTCCGCCTCAGCCTCCCACATGGATGGGACTACAGGCATGCTCCACTGTGCCTGGCTAACTTTTTGATCTTTGATTTTTTTTTTAGATAGAAGGTCTTGCTATGTTGTCCAGGTGGGACCCACCTGGACAACATAGCAAGACCTTCTATCTAAAAGATATACGGCTCCTGGGCTCAAGCAATCCTCCTTTCTCAGCCTTCCAAAGTGCTGGGATTACAGGTATGAGCCACTGGCTTTGCTTTTTGTAATTATTGATTAGGATATCATGCAGCCAAGCATTGCACTGGGAAATAAGGCTCCTGAGTCCCGCTTTAGTCACTTTAACTCCACTGGCTTTGTTTTATCAAGCATAAAATGCGAAAGGTGGGCCAGCAGGTCCCCTTCCGGGTGTGACACCTCTGCAATCGAGAAAGTTTGCCTTTACTGAGACTGCAGTTACAGGTTCTAGAAACTCACTTCCCAGAGTTGGCGCCGAGGAGCTTTTGCATGAAGCTATACACTCGGGATGCAAATCTCAGCTGAAATAGAGTGTTGGAAGCATCTTTTTCTTTCGTTATTTTTTTTTAATCGGAGTCTCATCCTATTGCACAGGCTGGAGTGCAGTGGCACTCTCACAGCCACTGCAGCCTCGACCTGCTAGGCTCAGGTGACCCTCCCGCCTCAGCCTCCGGAGTAGCTGGAACCACATCGAGGCTAATTTTTTTTTGATCGATTGTAGAGACGAGGTCTCGCCAAGCTGCCCAGGTTGGTCTCAATCCCCTGTGCTCAGGCAGTCCTCTCGCCTCGGCCCCCGTCCCCCAAGTGCTGGGCCAGGATTGAGCCTAGCAGAGGCATCTGTACTAGCCCCCTAAAGAACAAGGCAATAGCCACCTGCAACTTGGACTCGGGGCAGACGTGTAACCACCCGGAGCCTGGGCTGGCCTGCCAGCTGTGCCGTCGCTGTCGGTTGCTCACCGTGTTTTGTGTTGTCATTAAGCAGGCAGCATTAGAGGCCGAGGGCGCGGAGCGGCCGGCAACAGAGCCCCGGGGCCCAGGGGCTCCTACCTCGGGGGGTACTCTGCTGGCCGCGGCATATACAGCCGATATCATGAAGGGAAAGGAAAGCCGCAGGAGAAAGGATATGAGCTTGTGCCGAACTTGGAGATCTCCACCGTCAATCCGGTTGCCATTAAGCCCGGGGCAGGTCAGTGGAACCGCATGGAGGATGCACCCCCTTCACCCCGAGCCCTGTCCTCTCTGCGAAGCGAGTCCAGGCCTCCTCCGGCTCTCACTCCTGCACCGGCTCCTCGTCCCTTAGGCAGCCAGAGGCTGGGCAGAAGGAGCGGGGCTCCCGGGCCCTCTCGGGAACTCGAGGGGATGGATGGTCTAGCCTTGACCAAGTTCAAATCAAACTCTCAAAGAGTTAAGTTTTTCCCACGGGCGTCACCTGTTAGTTAGGCTCTTTTTCTTCTTAGTAAGCAGAGTTGTGCGGGAGAGAGTGGAAGAACATGAGGCTCTCTGTACCTTTTACTTTTTTGTTTTGAGTCCGGGTCTCGCTCTGGCGCCCAGGCTGGCGTGCAGTGGCACGATGACGGCTCACCACAGCCTTGACCTCCTGGGCTCAGGTGATCCTTCCGCCTCAGCCTCTGGAATAGTTGATACTACAGTGTACACCACCACACCTGGCTAATATACATTTTTAAAGTCAGAGTCTCACTCTGTCACCCAGGCCGGAGTGCAGTGGCACGCTCATGGCCACCACAACCTTGATTTACTGGGCTTAGGTGATCCTTCCGCCTCAGCCTTCTAAGTAGCCGGCACTACAGGCATGCACGGCTAATTTTTTGATTTATTATAGAGACGAGGTCTCATTATGTTACCTCAGGCAATCCTCTCGCCTCCGCCTCCCAAAGTGCTGGGATGACAGGCATGAGCCACAGCGCCCAGCCACCTGGCTAATTTTTTTTAATTTTTATTTTATTTTATTTATTTATTTATTTATTTTTGGTAGAGACGAGGTCTCACTGTGTTGCCCAGTCTGGTCTCGAACTCCTGGGCTTAAGCGATCCTCCTGCCTTGGCCTCCCAAAGTGCTGGGATGACAGACATGAGCCCCTATTCCCGTCCTCTGTGTCTTTTATCAGCTAAAACCTGTCAACTTTTCCTTACTCAGGCCTGGTTCCCCTCAGCCATCAGAAGCCAGAGGGTGCATTTGACAGCCAGTACAGAGAGTTGTTGAAAAGGGCAGAATGCTCCCCTTTGGGATAAACAGCACATTTTGTCCCTTGTCAAGGCTTGAGCAAATAAGAATGCCTGGGGGCCATGGCCGGCCGCAGGGAAAGCTTTTGTAGCTGTTAATCCCCTGGATTCTAATTTCCAGAATTTATTTCCTCCTCTGGCTACTCAGGAGAGCAGGGGGAGTGGGTAGTGATGCTCAGGCATTTCCAGCCAGGGACCTTGAACTTGGCTTTTACCTCCAGGCCCCACAAGCCTGTTCGCCCAAGTCGTTAGTGCCCCTGGTCACCTAACATGAGGCAGGTCAAGAAAGAATGTGAACTTTGTGGTGTGAGTCTGGCACAAACTCACACACGCGCACACCACACGGTACACAAATGTAGGCCATTCAGCCCTCGGCCATGGGAGTGACCGTCCCACAGGCCTCTTCCTTGTCTTCACAGAGGGCAGATTGCACAGCTGCTTGCAGCTCAGCTACTCTGGTTTTCTTCTGGTGGAAATTGTACACATCTTCCCGAGCTAAAGCTGAGCCGAGAGCTCCATGCATTTGAGCCATGGGCTCGCATTGGCCTCATTGGACCAAAAAGCATTTTCCCGGTAATGCCTTCTTTTGAAGAATCCGGCAATTATTTTTCTGCAACCTACTTAGGTGACTCCTCAGACGGGATCTCCTTATACATGCTTCTGGCCCTGATCTGACAGCTCTGAAACTCCCTAAAGCAGAGCCTGGGTGTAGGAATTGTCGCTTCTACTTGTTGGGAAGGGGATTCGCGTTGGCAAGCCGCAGTTAGTAGCTTAAGGTTTAATCAGAGAAAGAAAGCTAGTAATCAATGTTTAGCCATGCAGAGATCTCCCAAGGTAGAAATTCCTGTGGGCCGGTGGCCAGGATAGTTCGGTTACTTAGCACAGTCCCGTGTGGCTGCAACTCACAGGCCTCTCTTGGCCTCTATTTCTGATCACCCAAATAATTAGAACTTGGCATTTTTTATTTTCTTTTATTTTTTATGTTTCGATTTGGGGTCTCACTCTGTTGCCCAAGCTGGAGCGCAGTGGCACAATCACGGATCACTGCCTTGACCTCGTGGGCTCAGACGATCCTCTTGCCTCAGCCTCCTGAGTAGCTGGTACTACAGACACACCACCTCCCCCAGCTAATCATTCTTGTTTGTTTGTTTGCCGAGAAAAGGTCTGGCTGTGTTGTCTAGGCTGTTCTCAAACTCCTTTCTTAAAAAATCCTCCCACCTCAGCCTCCCAAAGTGCTGGGATTACAGATGTGAGCCACTGCGCCTGGCCTAAACTTGGTTTTTAAGGATTTTGTAGAACATGTCAGGGACCCCCTTGGGGACTGACAGTGCTTTCCCCTCTCTCTTCCGCAGTCGCCATCCCTGCCATCGGGGCCCAGTACTCCATGTTTCCAGCGGCCCCAGCCCCTAAGATGATCGAAGAAGGCAAAATCCACACCATGGAACACATGATCAGCCCCATCGCGGTGCAGCCAGACCCCGCCAGTGCTGCAGCCGCCGCCGCCGCAGCCGCCGCCGCCGCTGCTGTCATTCCTGCTGTGTCGACGCCACCCCCGTTCCAGGTAGGGTTTCTGGCGCAGTCACTAGAATTTGTGGGGATTCGCTGAGTATTCACACTGAGCGTTGACCGTGTCCCCTGCTCCGTGGAAACTGTGGGGTTGGGGGACACAGAGCATTGCTTGCATGAATCAGGACGGAGCAACATTTTAAATAATCATCATATGACCCTGATATTATCATTGTAGTAAGGATGGAAAGCAGTGTGCAAAAATGAGGCGTGTGGGCCCGGCACAGTGACTCACGCCTGTGACTCAGCACTTTGAGAGGCTGAGGCAGGAGGATAGCCTGGAGCCCAGGAGTTTGAGACCAGCCTGAGCTACATAGCAAGATCCTGCCTTTACAAAAATAATCAAAAAATTAGCCGGGTGTGGTGGCGCATACTTTTAGTCCCAGCTGCTCATGAGGCTGCAGTGGAATGAAGCTGCTGTGAGCCATGATTGTGCCACTGCACTCTAGCCTGGGCAACACAGTGAGACCCCAACTCAAAAAAAAAAAATAACTTGTTAAAGCTATTCTCTGAGAGACAGTGAAGCGAAGATCCCAATCAGAGAAACTCAGGCCTAGGGTCCCTCATCCAATAACCTAAGAATAATCCAGGTGAGGATTCTTAGACTCTGACCACTGGAGATTCTAGTTCAATTTCACTGGGCTGGGGTCTTGAATCCATGTTCTGTGTAAACGCCTCAGTGATTCTGAAACAGCCAGGCTGGTGACCCTCAGGGTGGGATGCTGTGTGCTCGCTTTTGCCCACTCTGGGCACAGTCTTGACTGCGTTATTCACAAAAGGTGAAACCAGTTGACGTTCCTTCATCTTATCTGTATGTCATCAAGTATTCTTTCTTCCTTTCTTTCTTTTTTGAGTCGGGGGTCTCACTCTGTCGCCCAGACTGGAGTGCAGTGGCACAATCACATCTCACCTTAGCCCTGACCTCCTGGGCCCAGGCAGTCCTTCCGCCTCAGCCTCCCAAGTAGCTAGGACAACAGGTGTCCACCCCCACATCCCCCTAATCTTTCTGAATTTTTGTAGAGACGAGGTGTCACTGTATTTCCCAGGCTGGACTTGAGCTCCCGGGCTCAGGCAGTCCTCTCACCCGACCTAAGTGCTGGGATGACAGGCGTGAGCCACCACGTCCAGCTCATTAAGTATTCTTTAACTCGAATCTCCTAAAGACAGAAAAAAGGGATAGTTTGTAAATGACTCCCAAAGTACAGAATGACAGCAAAGTGCAGTTAGTACTGGGGGACTGAGTATAACTATTTGCAGTAACTGATATGCAATACTTAAGGAACTCATAGGCCAGGCGCAGTGGGGAGTGTCACTTGAGGCCAGGAGTTCATACCAGTCCGGGCAACATAGTGAGACCCTATCTCTACAAAAAACTTAAAACGCTTAAAAATAGCTGGACGCGGTGGTACACACCTACTTCTAGTTACTCGGGAGGCTAAGGCAGGAGGATTGCTTGAGCCCAGGAGTTCCAGGTAACAGTGAGCTGTGTTGGTGCCACTGCACTCCAGCCTGGATGACAGAGCAAGCTACTGCCTCTTTTT